AAACCCAAACAAACCATTCATTAGCTTAACAAACCAACTTAACCAATAACATACCAACCACGTGAGAGGGCGATCACACTATTAATACCTTTCTTATATATATACACAAACCTGGAATTTAAAGGTAATTCAGAATTTAATACGCAGCTTTTAATTGAAAATTGTTCTAAAAATAATTTAAGACGATAACATCGATCTATATCGTTTACAAATATGAGACATTTGCCTTTGATAAGACCAAGCTTTAACACAACATATATTAATAGAAATTTGTCTATTTCTGAGCATCTATATCAAAAAAGGTTTCTTTAATTGATTAATATTTTTTTAGAAGAAAAATCAATTTCAGCTTTTACAAATTTATTAAATTATTCAAATAATTATTTTATAGACATTACCTAATACAATATTGAGTGAGCAAATTAGGTTCATCTTGTTCATGTAATGTTAATATTGCCTATATGGTAAATTTTATAATTATGTCATAATTGAGGTTTTGAACTTAATTAATTAAAAAATATATACATTGAGTTATTAAATACCGTACTGGATTACGCAATAATAAATGTTTAAGATTTTCTACATCCTGGAATATAAAAAAAATCACACACACATATATATTAGAAATTGATTTTACAAAGAATGGATTTATCAAAGTGCTGTCCAATCATATAGTAATAGTATGTTAGAAATGTGTCCTAACCTTTTTCATTTTATTAATACTTTATATTTGTAATTTTTTACATTCGCATTTATTAATTTTATTTAATTAAATTAATGGAACAAACATAATTAATTAGTTTCAAAAAAGATAATGTCACTTTTTGATCTAGCAAATTAATTTTTCTAACTAATGGGCAATTAACTGTTAATTTAAATAATTAAATAATTCTTCTATATTGATAATTCAGAGCCAAGATTTAATTAATAAATTTCAAATTTGACAAATATTATTTTGCAATAAACATTTTCATAATTTAATAATAAAATAAAGTAATTTTTTTTTGTTTAATAAAACACTTTTGTAGTCGGAAATTAAACAGTATCCATTTGGTTATCAGGGTTGGTATAGAACTCTGAGGTTTTGTAATTTGGTTTTGATTACTTGCTTTGGTAGAAAGCAATAGTTTAATTGTTGGTTTTGTAAATGTTTTTGTTTAATTTTTTGTATATGGGTTTATTTGTTTAAGTGTAAATGTAAGGTATGTAAGGTGTTGAGACTGAATGGCAAAAGTATTAAGTGTTGACAAGTTATTATTGATTAACCATTTATACAAAGGGTTAACAGTTATTAACCAAAGTCATTATCGCATATTGTATTGTGTTGTGTTAAATTGATTATTGTGAGACTTCAATCAGCAAAGAAAAGCAAAGTATTCGTAACTTGCTTTGTGTATTTTTTTTTTAAAAAATTAAATTTGCTTGTGTTACTTTTGAAGAAAATTATTTCTAGAAAATTTTGATAAAACATTCCTTACTATAAAAGGAGGGATCAACATCAATCCATTTATGGTAAAAACCCTGACTGTAGTTGATCACATATATAAATTTTCATTAATAAGGATTTTTTAGGGGTTTTGCGGATTTATTATTATTTTTTTGGTGCCACAAAAAATTTTTATACAAATTGGCAAACTTTGCACAATTACAAAACTCAAAATAACTCTTAAACTATATGTCATATTCAAATAAAAATTTATGTTTTAGATTCACTTTTTGATGCTCTTTAAACTAATAGAGAGCCTTTTACAATTTTACTTGCATAAAATTTTGTAACATATATTCGCAACTTTTACTTTGATTTTCTAGCTTAAAATAAATGCCATTGTTTATATTAAAATAAGAAAAGGGCTCTATTACTTTATTGTCCTATTTCTCTAGTATGTTTTAAACTTAACTCGGAGTCAGTATCTCTATTCTTTAAAGAGTTATAATCATTCAAAGTTTACTATTGAAAAAAAGATCTGTCATATATGAAAATTAATATATGATGTGGGACATCTCATTCTATTATGTTTGTCTCTCTCTCCTGGTCAGGAAGAATCAACAAAATAATTGGTCGTTTTTCCACTTGTTTAAGCTGGTCTTGTAAATGGAAAAAATTTTTAAAATTATTTTATTTTATAAAAATATGTTTTTAAAAACATTATTATATAAGGCTTTTATTTATAATTATTTATACATATGTATAATAAAAATACGTAGAATGTAATAAAAATAATTTTACAA